GTGGTGCCAAATATGTTAGGATTGAAACTCCATTTGTAAATTTCTGTAAAATTTTCAAACCAATATTGTCATCTCCTAAAGTGGAGTCGATAGTTAATAATTTACCTGTATTGTTACTAACAATTACGGCAACAGCTTGTGAAGTCGATAAAACAACAACTACCAGAAATAAAGTGTAAAGGTAAAGAAATTTGATTTGGAATGCTTAACAGTTAATTGAAAATTTCTCTCTCAGAGGAATCAAGTAAACTCAAAAGAAAAAAGAAAAAAGAAAAAAGAAAAATAAAAAATAAAATAGTAAAAATAAAAATAACATAAATCGTCTTAGCTTTTAAAAGATTTCATTTATGGAAAATTTTCAACTTATGAAAAAGAACCTATATACTAGAGTACATATGGGAAAATATACACAATTAATTGATGATCCGTCAATTAATTTTTTTTTAGAAATTTGCATATTAATATGAATGAATGGTACCAGTATAGAATTCGAAATTCTCAAGTAGAACTCTGTTTTTATATGTTCTTTTTATTAATTAATTGGTTGGATGTAAGATTTTATATGCAAAAAATTCAACTTGAGTCATCATTATTTTTTATATCAATATTAACTAGAGCGATGACAAGTGGCAATAACCATCATTCTTTTAATAAACACTACCTGACAATCTCTTCAGATGTATTATTATTTTTACTTTTGCTTTGTCTATACATTTTTTCGAAGAGAAAAAGAATTGTTGTTTGATTGACAAACGCGTACATATTAATTATTTATCATTACAGTCAACCCCCTCGGGGAATGAGTGATAGCGTGTACTTAGAGAAACAAAGCATTTCATTGGTTGCACATGACACCAATAAAGAATAAAATTTATTAATTAATTATAACATTATTATCACTTAAAAAAAATTATTGATTAAGATAAGATTCTATTGTAGTTTGCCTCATTGTATTTATTGTTTCAAACTAATATATCTATCAAGAGAATTAACCAATTTTATTTGTTGACTAGAATTTTCTTGTAATAAAAATGTGCGGACAATTTCCAAGTCTTTTAAGTACTTATCAATACTTGCTCAGCACTATCATCTTCATCGAAACCATCAATATATGCTTCAATAATATTATAATCATCAGGGACTTCTTATACAGTTTCTTCTTCTGGATTATTCAAATATTCTTGAATAGGTATTGTATCATTTAGGTTGAGGGCAGCAACTATCTGAGAAAGTTGGTTTGTTGTTGGATCATTAATATCATCAGATATTGGTCAAATTAATTCGGTCTGGAAGAATTTTAGTATAACATAATTTTTTTTTACGTCCACAAACAAATCCCAAAGAACATATTATCAGTTTCT